CCCCCATAGTAGCTAAAAAGTAGCCAAAAAATACAGAAAGCAGCTGAAACTAGCAAATAGCTGAAAGAAGCTTAAAAAGCTTAAAATAGCAGAAAGAAGCTGAAAGAAACACAGAAAAGTTTAAATTAACATTAGAGCAGAAAATTGTCAAAATGAATAAAAAAGCAGAAAAAGGCTAAAAGATCAGCTAAAAAGACGTTGGAGAATGCTGAAATTAGTACAAATAAAAAAACAAAAACACAACCAGAACAAGAGGTTTAAAAAGTGCAGTAAAGATTTMTGTCTATTTTGAAGAGTTTTAAGGATGTCGAAAACAACTCCCATTTCAACAAGTATAACCGTGGCAGATAAAGCTAAATAGCTCAAAAGTATAAATTGTTGAAATACCAAACGTTGTAGCAGGAATGCTGAATGTTTTGATACAGRTTGTTGAAATACCACAAAAAACTTTGTAAATAGATACGTGTTGAAAAACTGTACAGTGGGAAAAAGGAATCTCAACAAGACCCGAAAATTACAACAAAAGTGTCAGGAGTGGATATTGAAGAAGAATAAATTCATGGTTAAAATTAGCAAAACATTTCAGCTAATCCTTCACAGAAGTCTGTATATCTGAAACCAATTCCATTAGACTGTGGACGATCACAGTAGTTACTCTAAAACAGAAAACCTTGTTAACAAAGTGTGAATTCGACTACTTTTTAAAAATCTTTGTCTCAAAATGAACAGTCTCTTTTTTAATTTGACCTTAAAAAACTGTGACCCTTTCAAAAATAATTAGACAGGGCCTTTGAATGCCAGTTGCCGCAGGGTGTTTATCAGAGCAAACAAAATGTCTGAAGAGATCTCGTGGCTTAAATGTTCTTGTGCAATTTTGGACTATTGACGCTGCTTCTGTGCTCAAAGCCACAGACAGCTAAATTTAACAAGGTTCCTCTTTTTTTCCAAGTTCCAGCTCTGAAGCAACTTRCATCCCAACAAAAAAACAAGTAAACTGAGCTAAAACAAGAGCTTTTCTTGTCTTTTGTTTTTCCAACAGTGCTCACCAGCCAGCACACCACAAAGATTCTCACTCACAAGCGAGCCTTCAGTGACGAAGCCAGTAAGATCACAACGGCCTTCCCTAAAACAAATGCTGCAGTGGAGTCTCTCAAGGGTCGGACCATGACTCAGTCCAAGTCCTCCCTGTGTATAAATGGAAGCCATGTCTACGATTCAGAGCCGTCGACTCCAAAGAGCTCTGGAGCGCTCCCGTCCAAACTGGTCCTCCTGGAGAAGTGCTCGCCGCTGTCTCGCTCTCTGCAGAACCTCACCAAAAGAAGTGAAGACAAAAGTTCTTTCGAGGGTCGACGCTGGTCCTTTGACAAGCTGAAGAAAGATGAAAAGGAGGAAGAGAAGGAAGCTCAGGCATCATCCAGTCCAGCTCAGGACGCTCAGACCGGGGACCGTTCCGTGCAGGCAGCGGCGCCGATTGTCTCGTCAGCTGGGAGTTCACCCGACAAAGGAAGGAAATTGAGAAAGACGTTGTTCTCTGCAGGTAGAAGTGATTCTCTTCCAGCTAAGTCTGACCTTAACCAGGCTGGCTCCACGTCTGAGGGGAAGTTCAGAGGCTGGTTTGGTTCTGGTGACTCCCAGAACAAGCCCAGGTGAGTAAGGCTCATTTACCGGATCCCTGCTGAGCCGGTTGCACTCATTAATGAATTAAAGTCTTTACCGGTACTCACTGTAGGCTTAAATTCAGCCGAAAGTGCTGAGTCAAGTGTTTGCTCTGCTCCTTTCTCATTAGAAAATGACTCTGATTTACTTTTGGCCATTTTAAAACCATGCTGTTCTCATCATCTCACAATTAGCCCTTCAGCATTGCTGTTTGTTAAAACTGTGCGTGTTCTCGATGGGTTTGGAAAACACAAATCTTGATATGGGCAGAAGAAGACAGGGTGCTCGAATGGCTAGAATGCATCAGCTTTTCAATTTTGTTCTTTGCTTGATTTAATTTTGCTAATTTATTTTGCTTTTTTTAATTTTTCAATTCAAGTTTCCACAAGTCTAAGTTCTCTGGCTGACGTTAGTCTCATTTATTTGTTGAGGCATATCAGTAAATATTCTGTGTACAGCGATGTTCCCCGTTTGGTAACCTGGCGCTTGATTAACTAAGAGGACTATTGTGCCCTATTTTCACAGGCTGGAAGTTTCTCCTAAGGTAGAAAGCAGCTCAGACGTACTCCCTTTCTTCCCTCCTTGCTCCCCTGTGCCTCCTCAGGGCTCCTATCCCTCTGCTTCCCCTCCTAGTCAGGTCTCATCTGAAGACCACGGTCACATYGGTCTCTTCACCCCTTCCTCTTCCCCCTCTTCAACTCCCCTCTCCCCTTCAAATCCCTTCCTCCCATGCATTCAGCGCAACCCCTTTTTTGAGGAGCTCGTWGCAGAAGAGTCGGAGACATTGTCTTCTGTGGCACCGTGCTCCTCTTCTGGCTCACCCATTTTGCTTTACACTGCTCTGCCCGCTCAGCTCTGCACACCTGATATCAATGCTAACGCCACGGGTATGGTTTCCATTAAGCGGGAGCGCCCCAGGCCAGTAGCTAAGCAGATATCACTCCCTGCGTTATCACCCAAAGCAGCCAAGCCCGACTTCCCTAATCACTCGGCTCCTTGCTCCGCATTTGGGACTGCAGAAAACTGGGATGACTCGTTCGATGCGTTTGCCTCAAGCAGACTCAACTCCCCTAAAGGTAGACTCCTACCAGAACAGCCGAGAACCAGCCCGACTTTGTGTTGCAAACGTAGCCGGCCTCCACTCGATGACATTGTCTGTAACTATGCACGAGAGACGCAAACCTGCAAAGACGAGCCTCCACCTTTGCCTCCGAGGAGACTTGTACGGACTCCGGTGAATGAGATTTTCTCYGATGGGTGGCTGCATAGAGGCCAGGAGCTGGCGGTTCACAAGGAAGCCTACCTCCTCTCTCAGACCGGCGTGGCCTCGTTACAGCGCGGCAGAGAGAGCGAAGGCAAAAGGAGCGGTGTTTCCCCGGACCCTCACACGAGCAGCGAGTCGTCGGACTCCCTCAGCGCCCACGGCCAGTCGCACCCRAACAACAAATCTCTTGGATTCACATCTGAAGAGAAGCTCAAAAAATTCAAGTATGAACCTCTGGAAGACGAAACCAGCTGCTGGGGAGGGATGTTGTTTGAGCAAGACTTATACGGGCGTGTGTGCAGAAGGGTTAGGACTTATGGACAACAACGAGTTAATACTCATCATTTATCACTAAACGCTGAAGAAATTGTTGGCAATAGGACCTTGTTCAAGAATGTTGGATCTAAAGAAATCTTTGATGGTGACAAATCTGTTAGCGACTTCTTCAGTGTGTCACCCCTCTCTCCCTCCAATGTCCCAGACATTTCGTACACTCCAGCAGAGGAGGACACAAACTCGTGTGAAAATTCATGCCTTAACAACAACATATCTTTCTCACTAACCCTGGGAGATCTGAACATGAATGTAAACAACTCGGACTTCAGTTTTATTGATTCCGACGGATCCTCTCAATCAGAGGTAGTCAACGTCATCCAAAGCGTTGATGATTCGAATCGGAGTTTTCCAACAGATGATCCCCAGGCAGTCATTTACCACAAGGAAGCCAAACCTGAGGACGTGTTCACTTTGAAGGACACCTACATACCTGCAATGAACTCCTCTTTTGAAGTAACTGTGTCTTCTAAAAAGCTGTGCAAAGTGCCTCCAGTTTGCAAAGACAACTGCCAAGACTGCCAGTGTGAACTTGACAACATGGCACCGCTTGTTTACGGCAAGGACGATACCAAAAATAACCCAGCATCGAATTCGTTTGACGTTAAAACCGAATGTAGAGAAGAACACGTACAAAGAAATGATGGGGATTATAATGGGAACTTGGACGATAAGTTAGTCAAACGTCACCAGTCTGGGTCGTTTTCAGGAGTGGTTAGTGCACGAATAAGACCGAAAGGACTGTCCCGACAGAACAGCAGCGACAGCACCAACAGCCAAAGCAGAAACACAGACAGAGATTTTGAACAGTTTTTATCTCTCGTTCAAAACCTTTCGGAGGCCAGCGAAGGTCCATCGTCTTATCAGCCCACTAAATCCGTCCTGTCTTCCTTACAAGCATTAGAACAGACTGATATGCTTAAAGTTAGCCCCATTAATGATAGCACGTATCAAATCATGTCTAAAACACAATCGCAGATATGTTTAAAGGACCACACAACACACGTAGAGGGAAAACCCTCTCAGATGAGTTTTGAAGATCTCCATGCCAAAGTTGCGCCAAGCTGCAGAAGCCCTTGCAAAGCAAAGATTGAGGAATCTTTGCAAGAGCCTGAACTCTGTTGTCCCTCCACCCGCTCCGCACTCTCCCTGTCAGCTCATGCCCCTGCCTGTTGCCCCCACATGTACACCTCAGCCACGGGGCTCGGCGGTGGAGCCGGCAGCTCTGTGGCTGTGGCCCTCTGCCCCCCCTCCTCCTCCTCCACCACCACCTTCAGCACTGACCAGCCGCTGGTCGATGCACGGCACTCACTTTTACCTGAGGAGACACAGCCTGCTAGCAGCCTGCCCCGTCAGGAGAGCAGGTGAGACTCTCYGCACCTGGACACGACTCGTAAATGAGATTTATATTTATTTATTTTGGCTTTGAATGCTGTGGTATTTTTTTTCCCCTCTTGTGCTGCTGTGTGTTGAATGTTGAACACATTGTTGAATTTGAAGTTTTGCATTTTCATCCAATCTGATTGGATGACGGCTGCTGCATTGCTTCTGGCTTTGCTTCATGTTTGTTGTTTGCTCATCTCATGTTTTAGTTTTCAGTTTTAAATGCTGTTTTTCGTATGATTTGCTGTTTTAAGTCAGTTAATTTTGCTGTTATTTTGTGTGTTTGTATTTGTAAAAAAAGTGGAAATTATGCACATTTAAAAAACATGTCATTCGCAGAAATGAAGTTTTATTTTATTTGTGTTCAAAACTATCCAATGAGCAAGAAAAATAGGTCCAAACAGAATTTTTCAAAAGTTGAGATTTGCCAAAATTCTCTTGAATTTTGTTCCGAAAAGATCTGCTGCAACTTGACAGATAGGAAACACAGTTTAAATTATAAAACACAATAAAGACATGACCACTGATTATTATTGTTTCATAAGGTGAACAACGTGACTTTTTGATGGGCTTTAGTGTTTACAGCACATGGAACAAAATGTATCATTTATGATCTGCATGTTGTTAAGTTAAGCAGAGTCATATTTGAGTAGAAATGTTAGTCCTGGCCTGTTTGATTTGCAGATCTCATCCGGTGAAACCTTTAACATCCAGCCAGGCTGAGAAGAAGGAGGGTCGTTCGGTTCTGGAGAAGCTGAAATGCACCATAAACCCCGGACGTTCCGCCCATCAGATCCCACCTGAACCTGAGAAGAGTCAGGTACTCTTCAACATTTTTGGACAACTTAAAAAAAAAAACAGTGAAAGGAAAAACTTCCTTTCTCTTCAGTGAGCAKCTTTTGATTCTCTTTGTTGATTTCTGCGCTGTAGGAGGCGAGTGCCGACCGAGCCGCTCAGTACCAGCACCTCACCAACATGGAGCTGATCTCCCTGCTGCTGCAGCAGGAGATGGACATGCAGAAGCAGCAGGCGGCCTCTGAGCAGCAGGAGGTGCAGCTGGACAAGTGCGAGGCCGAGCTGAAAAAGGTCAAGCTGCAGGTTCGAGACCTGGAGGACTACATCGACAACCTGCTGCTGCGGATCATGGAGCAGACGCCGACTCTGCTTCAAGTTCGCTCCAGACACAAGTGACGCCACGCGATGCTTGCCTTCCAGCGTACTGTCTGTGGCTGGGAGTTATTACATTACACAGCCCGACACGGCTAAAAACCATGTTCTGATCTTACAATCATCCAGGTCTTCTCACTTCAAATACTGCCCTGATGATGGAGGCACAGTTTTACCCATCATGCATGCTACAATCTCAGTTTGGCACAAAATTTAAAATAATGCTTTAAGGAAAAAAATAATTAAATCATTTCCCACATGCTCACAGTAGAATAAGTAGTGACCTATATCCAGTTCAACTAAAAGAAAAAAACAGCTTTTGCATGTGCTTCAAATAAAAACAGACTGGTAATAAAATTATTCTGGAAGTGCATCAAATGAGCTCATTTCGAAATAAAACTGCTCCAAGGACCTTTGAAAAATAATATTTGCAGTAAAAATCTGATTTTGACTATTTTTTAATGTTTTATCTGTTAGAGTTAAAGTCAGTAAACGTTAAATCACTTGTTAATTTGAGTTTTCAAATAAAATCTTAAAATAGGTACAAAAAAGTTACATTATGCAAAACACTGCTTTGCAAAGTCACATCTGTAGAAAGAAGCTTCAGACCACTAAAAACTGCAGAGGACAAAGCCTTATTTCCAGCAATTTCTTTATTTTTAAACAATTTTTTATCTTTAGAAAATAATAAAAAAGTAATATATGCTTTTCATTGAATGTTTTTTTGACTAAAAAGATGAAACAGTTTAAGTTTTTGTTCGTCTATACAAATAGTGATATTTTATTGTAGGAGTTGGTGTAGCATAAGTTRTTACTTTCAGTACTTTTTTCACTTCAATATATTCTAATGCAACTCACTGTAGCCACCTGCAATGCTTTATAAGACCACAGAACTGTAATAAGAATTTCAATAAAGTGCACATGAACAGGAGTTTGCACAGTCTTTGTGTTAGTAATGTTTTTAAAATAAATTCTGAACTGTGAAAAGCCTCCGAGCTGCAGTACCTACATTTCTACACTAGAGGGCGCGCCTGACTTTTGAAAACCTGCTTTTTGAATCAGCGCCTGCAGACATGAACCATCTGTCTGCACACTGCTGGGACTTTGTGTGTTCATTTTTTTATTTTTGTGAAAAGCTGGTTTCTTCCAAATAACTGCTATCATCTACTTTAAAACTTCCCAAATGACTATTTCTTTTCAATGGCTCCCTATTTTCCTAAAAGCCCCAGACATCCAAGCCAAGCAGCCCCCCAAACTGTCAAAAAGAAAATCAGCTCTTAATGGTCATCATTGCAGACTTGCAGTGAGATCAAACAAAAGGATAGCCCGACTTTATCAAATAAAATCACGTGACAACTGTTTCCTAATTATGTTTATATTGACATGCATACCAGGGGAAACTACTGGAGAAAAACTCAAACTGCAGCATTTGATAAAGTTTAGAATATTTTTTGTTTTGTGTTAAAGTTTGCACAGATCACCATCTTGTCCTTCCTCCCAGTAAAAAATAAAATTAAAAACCTCCTCTATCAGCTGCCATCTGCAAGATCAATCCCAACTGTTACGCAACAGCCCTCTCCTTATCGATTAATCGGGATGTGTAGTCACGCGCATCAGCTCCGTCACGGTTCCAGCCGAGCAACAAACTACACATCCCGACAWCCTCTGCGGCACATCGCCACACTAGTTCCCAGTCCGTAGTTGGGCTCGGGAGTTGATGAAAACCCGGTTCGGTCCATGAATAATAATAATAAATCTAGAGTTTGATGTCATGCTGGAGTCTGCAGCCTGTCCGGGTTTCCGGCTCGGGAAGCCGCGCTACGACCAGGTGAGTCCGGAGTTTTTCATGCTCGGGTTCTCCTGCCCCGGAATCATGACATGTTTGTTAGATTTTTTTTTTCTGAAGCCTTCATCCTCCTCCTCCTCCTCCTCCTCCTCCCTGCTCCGCTCCGGATACTGCTGACACTTTGGATCTGCGTTGATTTCTTTTAGTCCTAAAAAAAAAAAAAAAAAGCAACTTCCGGTTCCAGACGATCAGAAACTTCTGATGGTTTCATCTCTGCTCGGGTCTTTTTCTAAACACTTTCATCCTTTCACTCAGGCTTGTTGGTGCAGATTGTTGCTCTCTTCTGATCGCCATGAAATCCATTTGCGCTCAATTTCCTGCGTAAAAATATAATTATCTCTGGTCAGCCCTCTGCAGGTTAAAGTGACCTTCCCTCAGATCAGATTAATAGATTAATGGTTGCATTTTTATTATAGATGCTTTTTATTAGACTGTTACAAACCAGTGGAACGACTATATATGAAGTTAAACTTTTAGGGGTTGTCTTTGATCATAAGCTTAACAGGAAATCTCATATAAAATATATAAAACAAAAACTTTATAAAAGTATAAATAAAGTAAAAAAAAATTTTTTTTT